TATATTTAAGAAAGGACTTGTGTCGCTAAGGTTTCGTCGAAACGAAGTTACGGAAAATCAACTAACGAACGGAGACGTAACAATTTGTTTGTTTCAGAACTTTCGCTCAACGCAACACATAGCCGTCCTAATTTTTAATTGACAGATTAGAGACAACTATAATCATTATCACACAGATTCAACTCTTCTCTGACCAAATAGTGGGCTTTGACCATCATTCTTATAACACATACATGGCTCACAGTCTGAGCACTTTATCCACTAATTCACATCGGGCCCAGTCAAGAAAATATTGAACAGGATCTTTACTACATTAATATATTTGAAGTGTGGTATTCGATCCCACAACTCTGTTTATTGAACAGATCTCCAACAAAGCTATATTACCCTCGAACGCTGCAACTCTCATCTTTCATTTCATGGTTTATAATGACTGAAGTCTTGAGTTATGTCGCTTTATCTCAGTTTTTGCTTCATTGGTTGTGAAGGGCTAAACTTGGCGGAATTTTCGACTTGTGTCGTCCAGTTTGTCTGAGTTTCACGTTTTATTAAATTTCCCATCGTTCCAGCTTGACTGTAGGACTAGCAGTCACATTATGTACGTATATGTATGTATAATGAAACAAAAGAAAAATGCTTACATTTTTGAAAACTCTTTATTATTATTAAGTTAAAGGAAGTAAATAAAAACACAAATGCATCTAAAAACCAGTGTGTGTCACGTCACGCTATATTTATCTTGATTTATCGAAATAGGAGGAGTCATAAAAGCCAAAATACGTTTAAATAGAATAGTTCGATTACTGTCAGCTCATTACGATTTTAGTGACGGGGGTGCAAGGGGGCCGGAAAATTTTATAAGTATAGTGAGTGTTGGTATAACAAGCCTAAATTAAAGACTTAGTGTGTGGTCACCTAGCCTAGAGCCAAGTGAATAACATTTACCATGAAATTAAAAATATCGATTCAATTTTAAACTTAAATCGTTTCTAAATTAAGCTATTTTTCTGTTATATTACCAACGTTTTAAATAACAATCGAAACTTCTTAATCAACAAATATCGTTCCAGTTTTGTTGTTTATACATTTCATTTTATACTTTCAGTACATAGACTAACAACAATATTAGGTTATACTTTTGTTGCTGAGCAACATGACATAAAAGCCATTGTTGGAACGTAGTGTTACCAAAACGCACTGACTTATATATATTGTTACGCCTCCAGTCGGTACTTAATTTTCCGTAAATTCGTTCCGACGAAACTTTAGCGACACAAGTCCTTTCTTAAATAAAACTGGTTTATTCTTTCCGAATACGACTTTACCGATACACTTAATTTCAACAGTCGCTCTATAACAAACGCTAGAACGTCTCACGTGCTCGTGCTCGACAATACTCAATTACACACTCTCTGACTGCAGTTCAATTACTCATTACCTACACATTGTCCCGTCACGTTGTGACCATCTTATATATACCAGGCTACCCCCAATCTAGAAATCTCCCGACAATTCACGAAGGTTCGAGAAAGAAGTGGCGTGATACTAGTCACGTGACCTCGCTGACGCAACAATATATATATTAGGAAGGAAGCGATGATATGTGAGGTTAGGGTATACTATGGGTGGAGGTGGTAGTACTTGCCTCGTCATTTTTGATGGGCTATACGCTAGTAAAACCTTAATTACTGGTTTCATATCTTCTAGGACATTCTTCAGTTTCTAAAGTAAGACATTTTCTATTAAATAGGAATGCGCCACTTTAAATTGGCAATTATCTGCATAAGTAAGCTTATCCGTGTTATTAAGAGGTACACTGTACAGTTATAAGGATTATGCCTAATGTGAATTTAAATGCAAACAAAAATGAAGTGTAGCCTCTCAATTATATCACTAATGAAAATCAACAACAAGAAACACTTGGGAATAAATACAAATATTGAACTAAAGAGTTCTATTACGTTTTGTGTGCTAAAATGAAGAAACAAACAGGTTAATCTGGGAATAATGTCTTTAAAATATCCCGATTCATCGTAAAGTGGGTACAGCTCTCTACGACTCAATGTTTACACAAATACTGTCTCCACTTCCAAAACAACAATAAAAAATGTCGTATAAGATCGTTTTAACGTAATTCTAGAAACCTTTTCCAATACATAAAAACATTCCACACCCTACTTAGTATATCGTTAATTAACTTGTTGCTGGTGTTTTTTATTATTGTTGTTGTTAAGCGCAAAGCTACACAATGGGCTATCTGTACTCTGCTCCCCACAAGTATCGAAGTTTGAATTTTAGCGTTATAAGCCTTCAGACGTACTACTGAACCACTGATAAAAAAAAAAAGGTTAGGCATAGTTAGAATAACTGAAGATAATAACATAAGTAGATTACTTATAGTTATTGAGGATAACTGATGTAGGTAACATAAATAGATTAGGTATAGTTAACGAGAGTAACTGATGTGGATAACATAAGTACTTAGGTATGGTTAGTGAGGATAATTGATGTGAATAACATAAGCAGATTAGGTATAGTTAGTCGGATAACTGATACGGATAACATAAGTATATTAGGTATAGGTAATAAGGATAACATAAGTATATTAGGTATAGGTAATAAGGATAACATAAGTAGACTATGTATAAATAATAAGGATAACATAAGTAGACTATGTATAAATAATAAGGATAACATAAGTAGACTATGTATAAATAATAATAAGGATAACTTAAGTAGATTAGATATAGTTAGTGAGGAAAACTGATGTGGATAGCATAAGTAGATTAGGTATAGGTAATAAGGATAACTTAGGTAGATTAGGTGTAGTTAGTGAGGATAACTGATGTGGATAGCATAAGTGTTATCCGTATCAGTTATCCTCACTAGCTATACCTAATCTACTTAAGTTATCCTTATTACCTATACCTAATCTACTTATGTTATCCTCGCTAACTATACCTAATCTACTTGTGTTAACCTTATTACCTATACCTAATCTACTTATGTTATCCTCGCTAACTATACCTAATCTACTTATCCTTGTTACCTATACCTAATCTACTTATCCTTATTACCTACTACCCTATTACCCTATTACTAATCTACTTATGCTATCCACAGCAGTTATCCTCACTAACTATATCTAATCTACTTAAGTTATCCTTATTATTTATACATAGTCTACTTATGTTATCCTTATTATTTATACATAATCTACTTATGTTATCCTTACACCTATACCTAATCTACTTATGTTATCCTTATTACCTATACCTAATCTAGTTATGTTATCCTTATTACCTATACCTAATCTATAAGTAGATTAGGTATAGCTAATAAGGATAACATAAGTAGATTAGGTATAGGTAATAAGGATAACTTAAGTAGATTAGGTATAGCTAGTGAGATAACTGATGTGGATAGCATAAGTAGATTAGGTATAGCTAATAAGGATAACATAAGTTGATTAGGTATAGGTAATAAGGGTAACATAAGTAGATTACGTATAGGTAATAAGGATAACATAAGTAGGCTAGGTATAGGTAATAAGAATAACATAAGTGGATTAGATATACTTATCGAGAATAAGATAAGTAGATTAGGTATAGTTAGTAAGGATAACTGATGCGGGTAACAAATAAACAAATCTACTGTGTGGGTAAAGACACTAACTATCCTGAAGAGACAAAAAGTACTAGATTGAAACTGGGATAATTTATAGAAACAACGCTAAAATCTGTGGTTCGATTTCTCGCGGTGGTTTTCCTCTAAAACAAACAAACAATTTAAATAAACAAAATGAAAACCTCTGGAACAACAATTAATGAAGACCAGCTAGCCACCGAAACCTAAAAAGCGAAATTCGAGTCTTATCGTAGCTGAACTAACTAAGTGGTTTGTTTAGCAATGTTACGACAGCGAAAGTCACGTGACGCTGCTGGCGGAGGAAGCCAGTGGATAGATAGATAATTAAAGAAGCGAACAGTAGTGACCGTAAGTAAAGTGTGTGAATCGCTGTGATTTATAGCGTGTATTATAAAAGTAGTTAAGTTTAAAGTGACGAGAAACGTATTGATTGTGCAATTACTGTGTGCTAAAAATTTGTATCCAGAAAGAATAAACTGGTTTAACCAAGAAAGGACTTGTATCGCTGAAGTTTCTCGGAAAGAATTTCTACCGGAAATTAACAAACAAGCAAGCAGATACGCAACAGAAATAAGAAACTTTAGAATATGCACTTGTGGTATTGACTTTAAAAATACATACTGCCTTGGTATGCATGCTTCAGCCTCATCTTGCAGGTAACAACATGCCTTATTATTATTTGCAGTGTATTATGTACTGTGAAAGTTAGCACTACGCTTCAATCATCGATATTCCATTCTTATTATTATTATCATTATTTTGTCTGTACGATGCGATACACTTGTATTCTTCAAGGAATATACTTACAGTGTTTAATTTTGATAATATTTGGTTGTAGAAGACGGCCTATTGTTTACCTGCCAGTGGTTAGTTCAGGTGCCAGTCTTAGCTGCCTTACACTACACCATACCGGACTGTAAAAAACCTCAGTGGAAACGATGGTTTCTCCTCGGCTTCTTCCTTTCCGTCACCTGGATAGCTGTGTTTTCCTACATCATGGTGTGGATGGTGAGTTAGGTCTGAGATTTCGTGAACGGAAATTCGCTCTTCTGGGTTATCATGTAAAGGTTGTTTAAGTAAAATCGCTATAATAGCATTTTTTAAATGGTCATAAAATACGTCACTTGGTGGATCTTAGAATCAGAGAAATGTCTGAAGATTAACACTGTGATAATATGATTTTAATTTTTTTTGAAAAAAAAATAATGTTTTCAAAATCAATTATAATTACGAGCATTTTTTTTTATTCACTTTAGTCATAATGAATAGGTTCTTAAGTCCTAACTGCTTTCCCGTTTCTTTGAAGGGATTTTTCACTGAATTCGACGAAGTTGTCTTTGAAATACATGAAAGCCAACCGAAGTTTCCTGCAAATAAGCATCAATTATTTTTTTGTTTTGTTTTTGTCTTAACAAAGATAATCTTATCATAATGGTCGAAAAAGTCTCCCTTTATCACTCAGGTGTATAACAGAGTGAATGAGGCATCGTTCGAATATTATTATTATTGTCACCAAAAAATCATTTCAGAAATGTTTCCTTCTCGGCTGCAGTACCATTTTCAAACTGACGTATTATAAATGATGTAGCCCTCCAGCCCGTTAAGTGGGTATAATTTTCTCGTTCAGACAAACATACTCTATTACAGTTAATTTGACTTTCCACAACTACATACATGCATGTAGAATATATATATGTTAAAACTGGGCTTTTATACATCAGTCGCGATTTGTTTCCGAATATAGTTTTGTTTTTGTACAATAGTTAAAATAAAGCATACTTAGAAAATACAGCCCTAATGTTTGATATACAAGACTGTTTAGTGTAATTCTTATTATTTAGTTTATTTTGTGACTTAATATTTAATGGTTGTTTAGTTTTTAAGACAGCAGTGTTGAAGATGGATTGACTTAAAAGTGTTAGCTGTGACAAATTTCGTTACCTAACTCTGTACGAATTGTACGTTGTGTTTGCCATTACATTGTCGTATATATAGGCTTTACTAATATTGTTAACGTCACGTTACACGAATCTTCGGTATTTTTCTCGTTACCTTAACTGAGTATTGTTAAATTATAGCGCCACTTGCGTAGTTTAGAGAAAGTTCGAGGCCTCAGTGAACAAAATATAAATAGAGGCTACCAAGCGAGCGCAAGTCAAGTGCATTTCAGTCAGAAAATTAGTTAGTGAAAGAAAACGTGAAGTTAGCCAGCGTGTGAGTGATTAGCCGTAATGGGCGATATTTTATAGTGAGTTTCACAGTTTAAAAGAGATAAGAAAAATAATTTGTCTTGTCAGAGGGTGTTCTAAAGTAATTGAACCCGTCTCTGTGGACTTTGACGAAAAAGAGACAATTATTTGAAGTTCGAGATACAACTATGGTAACCCACGGGGTAACGTAAGTGAATTATTCACTGATAAGAGTAGAGAAAAATAGTTAATCTTATCAATTGGATTCTAAAGTAATTGAATCAGCCTGAATGGATTTTTGACAACAAAAGAGAATTATTTAGAGTTTTATATACAACTATGTAAAGAATTTTTGTACATACGTTTGACTTGTTTGAATATATTATTTTAAAACAAGTGGATTGTGTGCTGTCCGTTTATTGCTCGAATTTATCGCCAACAAGTCACAGACACCTACTGTAGAAGAATCGAAGCCCACATACTAAGAACCTTGACACCTAAAAACTTTTACTTGCAACAATATTAAGTTTTAAAAACACCGTATCTATAAAAATGCACATTTGAGATATATTGTTTATATCACTACTGGACAGGGAAGGTGCAATTAGTCGATGTTAATTTACTTTACATTGATTTCTTTTCATTTTATATACAAAACCTCAGAAACTTAAATCATTTTATTTTTTAGAAATTTTAGTTTTAAAGAGAATATAGATATCATCTTATTGTTGCTATTTTGTTCTTGCTGATAGAACACTTCAGATAAAGGTTATAAACTGCATATAAAGCAGTGTAACGTGAATATTATACTTCAGAAAGTTTATTATATTGTTGGGTTTAATACAACGATCTTTCCTTAATGCTACACAATTGTTTATATGTCGTCACGGTTTGTTACATGTCCGAATAAAGCTAAGTTCATGTTTCAGTGATCAGTTTAATTTTTGTTATTGATGTAAACAAACCCCACTGTTGGGGGCATTGATCTTTCATTTACAGTTCAAAGAGTGCATAGACATTTGGTTTATAGCGCCCCCTATAAATAAGTAGTATTATTTTAGAATATATTGATTCGTATGGTTTATCTAAACCATTAAGGTTCGGTTGTCACCAAACATAGCATGTACTTTAGGAACCTCTGGGATGTGTTACACAGGGGTGGGCCGACGTTCGGATCTAACCCCCCCCCCCCCCGTAAGTCATTACGCAAGCGCACGATGTCTTCCCTGTGTGTTGAACGGGTACATCAGCAAATTTTCCTTGCGAGTTGTAAGAAATTTAAATGTTCTAAATATTTATTTTTATGAAAATTGGTTCATTACGCTAGTAAAGGCGCAACTATCTATCCTACAGGTTGGATCAAATCCATGAGCCCCAAGCCCCCCTCCACAAAAAAACAAACAAAAACACATACACAATAATCAATAACATTAATTAAGGACTTCTGTGTAATTTTGCTCCACGAACCACTGTATTTTAAGTATATTCATCAGATACCCAGTCACTGTGGAAGAGAGTATAGATAAGTAAAGAAAAAGTTATATTTCTTTCGACGGAAGTTGGGTTTAGTCTATCATTAGCGAGGGCAAAAACCTCTTTCAACTTGATAAGATAAATGAGTAATGGTAAGCCTCTATTGACAACGTATAACCTAACTGCTGATTTTATTTACTTTCTCTACTGTCCACCGAGCCGACTTGACAATAAATGCTTGGACTGCAGTATTCAACAGATAATAATATAAACTTTGTTATCTGCTTGAAAGCTAGAACGTTCTTCAGGTAAATAAAACCGATTTGAAACTAATATGTCACAGTATATTACATTCAGACGTTCACCAGACCATTGACTTGTTTCCTAGGTAACGTTGATTGGCTTCACGATGGGAATACCAGACAGTATTATGGGGCTCACGTTCCTGGCTGCTGGAACCAGTGTACCAGACGCTTTTGCTAGTCTGCTAGTAGCAAAACAAGGTGAGCTTCAGCTGTTATACAGTGGGTGAAAAACAACAACAAGAAACAGACTATTTGGTTAATATCTGTAGCTGCTTCCACTGCAAAACACGTTATCGTCTTCGTGTATAAGATGGTTATTTTAGGTGAAAGTGAATAACTTAAAACTTTTCGGGCAGGTAATTTTAATTTAAAATAAAATAAATATTGGTATATAGAAGAGGATGTCTAGGAATCACAAATATTGTAGATCTTCAACTTGATGGATACAAGGAGAGGTTAGAGTAATTTTTGATAACAATACCATGTAACGTACACGAACAAACTAACAATGGAGCAGAGCAAAGTTTTTAAAAACGTTCAAATGGATTTCCTTTCAAATTACCAGACGTCTAACAACGTTCATAGAAAAACGTTTCTTTTATCAACTGTAGCCCAAGATAAACCATGTGAGAAACGTATAATGATATGGTTCATTAAAAAAGAATGATGTAGGTGTTACAAGATCTTATGAGTTTGTTTGTTTTTTTTGCAAAACTCACAAACCAAAGATCTCTATGACGAAACAGACAAAAGCTGATTTTTATAAGAATGTTCAAGATTGTGTTGCAGAAAATGTTTCCCCACGATGGATCATGTCAAATAAGACGCACTTCCCACATTAATCAATAGATAAATTAAGATTAAAAATGATCTTCATTTATTTGTTTAAAAGCAAAGTCACATTGGGCTATCTGGTGTGTTCACCGCGGAGAATCGAACCCCGTATCTTAGCATTGTGAATCCATAAATTGCGGCTGGCTCACCGGGGGACAGCTTCGTGACGCCCGCATCTGGTAGAAACAATGCGTCACATCCCAGAACATAGATGTATTTAGTGTCATATATATGTCAGCATATATTGATGTTTTAGTGTTTGTTTTTTTAACTCCTGGACTTATAGACTTTCGGGTTACTTTTTGTTCCAGGTCAAGGTGACATGGCAGTATCAAACAGCATGGGTAGTAACGTATTTGATATTTTAATTGGCCTGGCCATACCATGGTTTATCCAAACAGCTATGGTGAAACCCGGATCTCTGGTAGAAACTTTATATTAATGTGTTTGTTTTTCGTGAAGTACATCAATGTAAATGGTTTATTTTTTATTTAAGCACATATTCTGAAATATCGAAGAAAGTTATAATTTGCCAAAGGCGAACTTCTCATTCACTAAGCTCAATATTATATAATTTTCTAATATGGTTTGGATACATTTATAATATAATTATTGGATTTATAACATGGTTTGTATATTCATGTAATTACTTTATTACATTTCTAAAACGATTTCAATCCATTTCTAAAATAACTTGATTATATTTCTGAGGCATATAATTTAAAAGGTCTTGTTGTTTCTTGTTATTACAAATCTACACAGTGTGCTATCTGCACTCTGTCCACCGCTGTGAATCAGGTGAATTGAACACCGGGTTTTTGCTTTGTAGATCCTTAGACTTACTGCTGGTCCACCGGGAGACTTTAAAAGCCCTAAAATACTTGTGCACCCAATACATCCTGAATATTTAGCCGCAAAGCATAATTATACACAAGTTATTGAATAATATTCCATTTTCGGTACATTTTTGAATCATTTTACATTTTCGTTTGTAATACTTTATTATAAACAAGTTATTGGATAATTATGTTGACATAGAACGTCATTGTGTTCGTAACCTGATAGTGTTAGATATAAATTTTTGTTTTAATTCGAAAAAGTCAAGATGTACACAGTTAAAACAGACAATAGTGTCGATAGTGTTGGTCTTAAAAAACAACAACAATGGATTTAGATAAAGATTATAATTTTGGAGCTCTGAATTTAAAAAATTTGCAATTAAATTATGTGTAAATTTTGTCGGAGCTATTTTCAAACCATCACTAGTTAATCTTGAAACTACTTTAAAGCTATCACCACAGAATGTTGGAACTACTTTAAAGCTATCACCACAGAATGTTGGAACTATCATCAAGTCATCAACAGATAATACTGGAATTTTCTTCAATCCATCACTAATTAGTGTTGGAACTATCTTCAAGCCATCACTAGTTAATATTGAAAGTATCTTCAAACCATCTCTAGTTAATGTTGGAACTATCTTCAAGCCATCACTAGTTAATATTGAAACTATCTTCAAGCCATCACTAGTTAATCTTGAAACTACTTTAAAGCTATCACCACAGAATGTTGGAACTATCATCAAGTCATCAACAGATAATACTGGAACTTTCTTCAATCCATCACTAATTAGTGTTGGAACTATCTTCAAGCCATCACTAGTTAATGTTGGGACTCGAGTTGTTTACTCAAAGCTAATTTACAAGCATATTGATTCAGGAATCGATTATTTTCTGAATTTTGAAAGAACTGCAGCTTTTTAATAGGTTAGCTCTGCTTCTCTGACACTAATGAAAAGCAGAATCGTGGCATTCACGTGGGGATGCTTGTAATTATGGCTACATCCAAGTCCACACGATCTTTCTTTGTTTCTATTATCCACCTAGTCACTAATGCTTTAACGAGCCAGATATCTTGAAACCTATCGAGCTGTTTATTTCACTCGTCAGTAAACAGATGAGACGTTGGGAGTTTTTATTTTGTCCAATAGCGACTTTTCTCCTCGTTTCCTAGTATCGATCTTTCGCAAAGATAAATAAAGATGACACCCATCTTCTTTGGTGCGTAGGTGTATAAGAAAGGCCTGGATAACTCTCTAACTGAATGCTACTGAAGGTGTAGCATATATGTAGCTTTTTATATTTTGCATGATTTTTTAACTAAAGGTCTCTAATTAGCTTTTTTTTAAATTCATGAACCCCTATTCCCACATGTGTTTCCCTTTCGTTATTTTTTAAAGTGAGTATGACTGTGGCATCCTTTAGAAATCTGGAACGGAACTTTTGGATGGAACGAACGATTTAGAAGTTGATCCAGTTTTTGTCACTAGTTTACTTATACAGGGTGTTCCAGAAGTCTGGACCCATAGGGAAAAATACACAATTTATTCGTAATTCATTTATTATTTAAATTACATGCCATGAACAGTCATGCACATGTCAGATCTTCGTATACTGTGCCATCAGGATATTTTCTTTCCTAAAATATTGTTACGTATCTGCTTGTTTGTTAATTTTCCGTAGAAATTCTTTCCGAGAAACTTCAGCGATACAAGTCATTTCTGAATTAAAACTAGTTTATTCTTTCTCGTTACAAACTTTGTAATA